TATTTTAAATTATTTGTCTAAGTTTTGTACAATTTTTCATCAATTTTTTTTTTCTTTTTAGCTGAGAATATAAATTGCAATATGAATTATTTTTCATAGGTTTTATTTTCTCCGATTTTTGATAAGTCATTTTTTCTACTTATTTTTATAACTTGAAAGAACTTTTATAATTTTACTGTATTATTTTACCATGCTTTCACAATTTCTCAATTTTTGATTAATATTATTTGTAGATATTTATATTACACTTTTATAATTAAAAAATATTTGAATACAACCGTGCAAAAGAACGGGTAAAAAACTAGTTATATCAAAAATGAATTCTCCTCAAGCTTACATCATTAAAATTACCAAAAATGAGATGACTTGATGTGAGAACCCGAATATAAAAATTAAGTAAATAATCAAATAATAATATTACAATCTCAAATATTTTGGTGGAGAATTCTAAGGTGCAAATTAAATATTATCGGAGGATCTTTTAATTAATTTTTAAACTTAAAATAAATTTATGGTGAAAATCTTTAATTTAAAGGCAAGATTTATTATCTAAAAATAAAAAAAAATTAAAATAAAATAAAATAAAGTAAATAGAGAGGAGGTTGTGACTTGAACTCTAGACCACAAACTTAATAAATAAGGCTTTACCATTTGAGTTGCATATAACTTATATATGTATTTTGTATATTTATTTATTTATTTGACCTATGTGTGCCCACCATTAGTATAAATAAAATAAACACAAACCCTAATTCTTATGATATTGTTTTCCCACAACTTTTCTGAGCAGCTGTGAGAAGTAAAGGGAGGGAGAGAGACGTCTAGGTTATTGGGTGAAAATTGTTGAGTTTTGTGATGGCCAATGGCAAGATAAATCCCTTATTATTTTTATTCCTTTACTATCTTTTTCTTCTTCTTGTGAGTTGCTGTGTAGTTGATGGATCAAATCGGTGAAGTAGGTACATGTTTTGGGCATGGCTATGAAATATTTGGCTGATTGGGATAGTGTTTTATGTATAAAGAATAGTGTAATTCTTAGTCCAAAAATTATGCACAGAATCATAAACTTTAAAAATCAAGAAACCATATCAAACGGATGAATTTTAATCTGAAATTTTACAGTAGATTAATTACATATTGAATTGCATATCTGAATTTTTTCATAATTTTTGGGATTCAAAATCCATATAAACTGATGTGTTCAAATCTGTCCAGAAAATGGATTTTTAACAGTAAATTCGGAAGTGTTGTACTCTTTGGGTATAAATCCAAAAATTATCAAATTAGTGTCATTAGAACCGGTTACGGGTCTAGTTTCTTACGTTTTTAACCTTGCATTAATTGCTCGTGTATATTAAAAGAACCGGCAATTTCTTTAAAGTGCTGCAGAAAATAACTTGTTTGGATATAATAAATTGTAGATAATTATTTTGATAAGCAAATCAAGTGAAACAAATTGGGTTTGAAACTTAGGATATATTAGTTGATATCTTGAGGTTTTTGAAATTTTTCGAATAACGTGGAGTGGGTTTTGTAGTTTTCAAATTTAGCGAATAGATTGAGAAAACTTGTTTAAAACTCTGTTTTATCTTAAAGTTATTTTTAGTTAAGTTTCGATCGGAACCCATGTCTTGGGTGATTTTAGATGTTGAAGAATATGAACTTAGGTAATATTTAAGAGTAACGGTGAGTTGGGTTGAGCCGTGCTAGTGCGCTTTAGTTTGAGGTTACTTAGTTCTTATTGTTTAGTATTTTTAAATTAGTAGTGACGTGTAGTTTTCATACTTGGTTCAGGACACTAGTTGGACTTTTATACTCTATTCGAGGATTATATTATTTCGGTTTCAGATGAGTAGTTTTATACTACATATTTTTATAAATGTTCCCCTACCCTTAACTGTTGAAAAATTAAATTGTTGTTTCATGACTAAACTGTTTTGATAAATTATTATATTATCAATTGAATCAAATTAATTGTAAAACATGTGTGAACTTGGCATACTGTAAACTATTTGTTTTGATCTCATTTTTATAATGATGAACTACCATGTTTTGCGAAACTGATGTGTATTAATTATTGGGACCATATGTGTATTTAGTCCAGGGAAATTATTCCACTGTGTGTGGTGACTCTGGCCACTAGGGAACAAATCCGAGTTGGGCCGTGATGACTCTAGTGCTCAACAATTGTAAGGAAAAGACCTTTAAAAAAAGTTAGGTGACCTTCAATCGGATCTTCTTTGAGAAAAGGCCCGGGTGCCACCCTGAGGATGACTCTTAGTTTGGTATTGGATCCAACGGGGCTTATAGCCTTGAGAACTGTATGGCATATTATTTGTTTTTATTGGTACCCAGAAAATTATTGGTGTTCATGTTATAATTTGTTTTAAGTGGAAAATGTCATTTATCATGTTCTTACGAGACATAAGTATTTTAAGTGTTGAACTGTGGAACCTTCTTTTTGAAACAGATTGTATTTACCAAACTATATGTCAATCTAGTTTCTGTGATATATATCTTATTTGGAATTGAGTCATGTTTTCAAAATTGTATTTACTATCCATGTTGCTACTCACCAGCTGACTTAGTTTTTATCACTTCCAGGTGTTAGAAAGACTTAGGGTGGACTTATGGCGTAGCTGAGACTCGATTGCATGGACCTCTAGGACATACATTTATTTTGTTTTAGATTGTTATGTCAAGTTTGTACATACTTCTTTTTATTTTTATTGAGGTTCATTTAGGATTATTTTGATATGTGGGCTGTTTATATCCCACAAGTTTTGATGATATTGATTATGGTTTGTTTTGCCGTTTATACTTGTGGCATGTCACTGGATTGAGTTTGGTTATTTATTACTGGACTTTTGTATAGTTGCTCAATGTGATTACGGATTAGTGGTTAGGCTTACGTATGCCTTGGGCTGAGTCCTTGTAGGCCACGGCCGGTCATACCCGGATTTGAGGTGTGACCCTTGAGTTAAGCTCAAATTTAAAAACTATAATGAAAATTAAAGCAGATTCAAGATAAAGCAGAGAAGAGTCAAAACAGATTTTTTATTAATATTCAAATTGATCTCACTTGATCATGTACAGTATTTATAAACGGACCCACACAATGTGGGTCCCATGTGGGTCCCACACCCATATGAGACATTTAGTAAAACTTTTAGTATAATTTTTGGGGCCTCTAGCATTTTTGTTAGACAAAACAAAGTCCAAAAAGAATAAAAGCACGCAATCAAAGGTCTAAACATTGGATCGGCCAAATTTCATGGCATTCCGAGTATGAGCTATTTTGCCTCTACTCATGCCTTTTACCTTTGCATTGCTTGTCCAAAGTTCCACAAACTCTATGGTCAAACAATCTGCATTACCTTGAAAAAAAAAAACCAAAAAAAAAAAAAAAATGGCAGCAAAGACTTTATTTATTTATTTATTAGCAAATACTTTATTGATGGAGATATCAAGGTACAAGCCAACCCAACATATGTCACAATTAAAACCACTATCAGATATCTTACAACTAAGACTACATATTTCATAATCAACACCATTTTTGACTCGTAACCAAACACGGAGATGCCATAAAATGGGAGTAGTAAGTAACTCTGGGAGAATAATCCTCAAGGAGGGAAACTAAGGATGAATTGTGTGACTGACATGCCAAAAGCGATGAAGGCAACCAAGAAAGATTTAGGTCAACAACGCTTGCTGTAGCTAGCAGCCTGATTGCAAGTTTGAGCGAAATAGAATTTATCCCGAGGCAGAACAATTTCCTTGCAGAGACTGTTGAACATATCAGAGGCCTCTTCTCTGTCGATATACAATACAGAAACATCTTTCAATTGCTCTCTTCTTTCTTTCAATTGCTCTCTAGCTTCTCTCACTCTCTCAAACTAAATCTTACATGGTATCAGAGCACATCAACCTATTCGAAATTTTCTCCTGAGTCCAACGGCACCAAGCTCGTTCTCAGAAAAGCCTACACGCGCCCACACGCGCCGCCCTTATCCTCAGCGCGTCAACACGTCCGCCACCACTCTCACACGCGCCCACACGCGCCAACTCCTGTCGCTCACTTCCGCCACGCGCCCACACGCGCCCACAAGTCCGCGGCTCCCATACGTCGCGCCTGCTACCGTACGCGTACCGTGCGCCGCTTTGCTAGTGTGCACCCGCGTGCGCCAAACCAGCTACTGTGCGCCGCGCCTGCGCCTGTCTGCTAACGTGCACCGTTGCCTTCCTGCTAACGTGCTCCTCCCTACACTCTGCTAACGTGCGCCGCTGACATCATTGCTGACATCATCTCTGTCCAGCATACCTTTCCTTGCTATTTTCGACCTTCCGGACTCACTGGTACACTCTGTTTTACCTAATTCTGCTCCTACGGATCTATTTCTATTACTTTAAACCTACTCAACTAGTATTATGGATCGTCATGATGCCTCCCATCCCATTTCCGTCATTTTAAATGGATCAAACTATGTTCTGTGGGCCCAAGCTATGTCCTCTTTCCTCAAAGGCAAGAAGCTCTGGCGAATTGTCACCGGGGATGTGGCTAAACCAGTAAAAGACAGTGCCACTACTGAAACTCCTGTTCATATTGCTACATATGAAGACCGACTTGAGGAATGGGACAGTAAGAATTACCAAATCATTACCTGGTTTCGTAATACCTCTATTACCTCTATCAGTCTTCAATTTGGCCGCTTTCAGCTTGACTCTGTAACTACTCCTGCGAAAGACATCTGGGATTTTTTGAAAGAACGATACCAGACTACTGGTCTTGCCCATCAATATCAACTTCAGAACCAACTTCACCACATGCGCCAAGAATCCACTCAGTCCATTAATGACTTCCTTTAGTTATAATTGAGCAACTGTCATGTTATATATCAACAAGAGTGGATATAATGTGGATTAAGACTGAATTTCCCTGGACAAACATTGACAAAGAATGGATTAAGATTCTCTTTCAGAATTGTCTAATATATCCATCGCAACCAGCAAAGGTTGGTGCAATTTCTCATGGCTCTTACCCCCTCTTTTGAGCCTGTACGTGCCTCTCTGCTTCATCGCCATCCCTTGCCCACTCTTGAACAAGCCATTTCTGAGTTGCTATCAGAGGAGACTCGTCTAGGTACTCTTCAAACTCATCATGTGGACTCTGTTCTTGCCACTCCTCCGTCCCGGCCATCATTTCCCCAGCGGACTACTGCTTGCCTCTACTGTCAGAATCGGGGCCTTCCTTCCACCCATCTTCTGGTCCATTGCCCCGTCAGATCCTGCCGCTACTGCAACAAAATTGGTCCTGGTCATCTGCAACAGGATTGTTTTCGCAATCCCTCTCGCTCATCCTCCAATAGCCACTCCTCTCGCGGTGGTTCTTCCCGGGGAAGCTTTCACCGTTCCGGCAATCAGTCTCATCACACTGCTGCTGCTGCTTCTGGGAATCAGTCTCATCACACTGACACTGCCACCTCTGCAGGGTTCTCTGAGTCACCTACTCCATCTACCCCTCGCTTTTCTCCAACGGATGTAGAGGCCATGCTCAAACAACTTCTCTCCCCAACTGGTACACCTCCTCCTACTGCTTTGTCTGTAATCCCAGGTAACTCTTCTTGGTATTTTGACTCTGCCTGTTGTAATCATATGACCTCTAGTTCTACTATCTTTTCTTCCTTATCTTCATCTTCTCATATTCCCTCAATACATACTGCTGATGGTTCCCTCATGTCTGTTCGTCAAGTTGGTACTGTTTCCACCTCTTCTTTCTCTATACCTCACGTTTATCATATCCCTGCTCTTACCTTAAACCTTATTTCCATTGGTCAATTATGTGAACTTGGCCTAACTGTCACATTTTCTGCTACTGATTGTTTGGTACAGGACCCTCAGACAGGGCAGACTATTGGGATCGGCCGTAAGCATGGACGTCTCTATGAACTCATTCATCTTCATGTTCCTGCCTCTCCTCAGATTGCTGCTCCTACATCTACTCCCTCATTATCTCCCTTTCATCTTTGGCATTGTCGCTTAGGGCATATTTCTGTTAATCGCTTAAGGACTTTGGTTTCTAGTGGCCAGTTGGGTCATGTAATTCCCGATAATTTCGATTGTATACCCTGTCAACTTGCCAAACAACCTGCTTTATCATTTAATAAAAGTACTTCTGTTTCTCTTGCACCTTTTGATCTTATACATTCGGATATTTGGGGGCCCTCCCCTACTACTACTATGGGAGGATCCCGCTATTTTGTTGTTTTTATTGATGATTTTTCCCGGTTTACTTGGCTTTTTCTCCTGAAAAATAGGTCTGAACTTAAAAACATTTATTATCGTTTTGCACAAATGGTCCACACCCAATTCTCCAAAGCCATCAAAATATTTCGCTCTGACAATGCTATGGAATATCGGGATTCAGATTTCCTTTCCTTTCTTCAGCATCATGGTACATTGCCTCATCGTTCCTGTGCTGGCACGTCCCAGCAAAATGGCCGCGCTGAACGGAAACATAGGCATATTCTTGACACTACTCGCGCTCTCCTTCTCTCTTCTTCCTGTCCTGAAAACTTTTGGGGAGAAGCTGCTCTCACTGCTGTTTACACTATCAACTGTGCTCCTACCCCTGTCATCCATAATCAAACTCCCTTTGAACGTCTGCATGGCACTCCCCCTCCTTACGCCAATCTCCGGGTTTTTGGCTCTGCTTGTTTTGTTCTACTTCAATCCCATGAACACACCAAGCTTGAACCTCGCTCTCGTCTTTGTTGTTTTCTTGGGTATGGCATTGAACATAAAGGCTTTCGCTGTTGGGATCCTCTCTCTAAACGTCTTCGTATCTCCCGCCATGTCGTTTTCTGGGAACACCAAATGTTTTCCTCGCTATCCTCCTTTCACTTACCCGGGCTTTCCACTACTGCACTGTTTACCAATCCTTCCATCGATCTTTTCTCTGCTGATTTTGATGCCGGTTCCTCCTCCATCGAGACGCCCTTGCTCACTCCTGATCCTGTCCAGCCTGCTCTGCCTGACGGTCTACCTCCTGTTACCACACCTCCTTCTCCACCGGATCTTCCTCCCACCGATCCTCCTACGGGTCGACCACGCCGGGTAACTCAACCTCCTATACATCTTCGTGATTATATTGTTGGATCTGCTGCCTTCTCTACTTATGAACCTACCTCCTATCGTGAGGCTTGTACTAATCCTCTTTGGCAGCAAGCTATGACTGATGAACTCCATGCCTTGGACAATGCTCACACTTGGGATCTTGTTGATCTTCCTCCTGGCAAGACTGCGATTGGCTGCAAATGGGTTTACAAAATCAAAACACATTCTGATGGCTCTATTGAACGCTACAAAGCTCGTCTTGTTGCCAAGGGTTTCAACCAAGAATATGGCATTGATTATGAGGAAACATTCTCTCCTGTTGCTCGGCTTACCTCTGTTCGCAGTTTACTTGCTGTTGCTACTGCTCGCCACTGGGGGCTCTTTCAGATGGATGTCAAAAATGCTTTCCTCAATGGTCATCTTCTTGAGGAGGTCTACATGCAACCTCCACCTGGGTCCACTTTTCAACCTCATCAGGTTTGCAAACTACAGCGTGCTCTCTATGGTCTCAAGCAAGCACCTCGTGCTTGGTTTGCTACATTCAGTTCTACCATTCATAACTTCGGATTCACCTCTAGCTCCTATGACTCTGCTCTTTTTATACGGACTACTTCTCATGGTACTACTCTTCTTCTTCTATATGTGGATGATATGATTATCACTGGTAATGATAAAGCTGGTATTCTCCACCTGAAACAATTTCTCCACCAACAGTTTGAGATGAAGGACCTTGGTACTCTTAACTACTTCTTAGGCCTTGAAGTCTCTCATGATTCTACTGGTTCCTATTTGTCCCAGGCCAAATATGCATCCGATCTTCTGGCTCGTGCTGGTCTTACTGATTGCAAAACTGCCTCTACTCCGGTTGATCCTCAGATTCGTCTCACTCCTCTCGATGGGACTCTTCTCTCTGATGCTACTCTTTATCGCCAGCTCGTCGGCAGTCTTGTCTATCTCACAGTCACACGTCCTGACATTGCCTATGTTGTTCACATTGTCAGTCAGTACATGTCGGCTCCTCGCACTCCCCACGATACTGCTCTACTCCGCATCCTTCGCTACCTCAAAGGCACTATGTTCCATGGGCTTCACTTCTCGGCTTCTTCCTCTCTTGACCTACGTGCCTTTTCCGATGCTGATTGGGCTGGGGATCCTACGGATCGACGCTCCACCACGGGATTCTGTTTCTTCTTAGGGGATTCTCTTCTTGCTTGGCGTAGCAAAAAACAATCCCTCACTGCCCGCTCTAGCACCGAAGCTGAATACCGAGCTCTTGCTGATACTACTCAGGAACTTCTCTGGCTTCGCTGGCTCCTTGCTGATATGGGCGTTTCTTCATCGACTCCTACCCCTCTCTACTGTGACAATCGGAGTGCCATTCAGATTGCTCACAATGATGTTTTTCATGATCGCACCAAACATATTGAGATTGATTGTCATTTCATTCGCCAGCATGTTACCTGTGGAACTGTTCATCTTCTTCCTATTACTTCAGTCGATCAACCCGCTGATATCTTCACTAAGGCTCATCCTCCTGGCCGCTTCAATGATCTTGTTTCCAAACTCAACTTGGTTGATGCTTTCCCTCCTTGAGTTTGCGGGGGGCTGTTAATATATAATTGTTAATTTATAATTGTTAATTAGCTTTAGCTTTAGTATATAAATTGTATAGCTTTAGCTTTATTCCTTTTGTTGCTTTCGGTGATAGTGGGTCTTGTTGGTATCCAATGTTTCATTCTTCTCTCTATAAAGAGAGAGTTCCTTCTATTTGTAATTAAGATATACAATACAGAAACATCTTTCAATTGCTCTCTTCTTTCTTTCAATTGCTCTCTAGCTTCTCTCACTCTCTCAAACTAAATCTTACACTAAGGATGAATTGTGTGACTGACATGCCAAAAGCGATGAAGGCAACCAAGAAAGCTATGAATGTCCATGGATATGCGAAATATGTACGCCTCAGATACGCCAAAGATTTAGGTCAACAACGCTTGCTGTAGCTAGCAGCCTGATTGCAAGTTTGAGCGAAATAGAATTTATCCCGAGGCAGAACAATTTCCTTGCAGAGACTGTTGAACATATCAGAGGCCTCTTCTCTGTCGCCGAGACAGCTACGTATGACTCCAGCCTTTTCAAGCACTTTGATGTCCATGTCAATGTTTATGAGTCTATCCATGAGGATAGCACACGATGTGAAGTAAAGATTAAGGCGATCAGGGCCAGTGTTATGATCAAGACAAGTGTAACACTGCTCGAAAGCAATGAGGTTTCTCAAGAGTGTTACTGTAGCGGCACTAATTCGCAGACTTGGGAATTTGAAAGAAGCTCTATGGCAGAACCAGAAAAGGCCCTGTGGGTCATCAAATTGGACCATGAATAGGGGGTCTCTATCACCGGTTTTAGTACTGACTTCAAACTTTTTTTTTTTTTTTTTTTTGATAACCGAGTACTGACTTCAAACTTGACTCCTGCAAATCGGTTTTTGGTGAATCTTGTTGTTCTGGTCTACCTTCTTGTTGACGGTATTGATTGTATAGAAAGTGGAGGATATGACTAACTCCCTCACAAATCTTCGGTTCCCAGTCATTCTTGCCGCCTTGTTCTGAGGGATTCATCATGTTGCCAAAGTATGAGAGGAGATAGTGACTAAGACTAGCAGATGATTCGGAATAGTAGCGACAGTGAGGTCAAACATGTCCTCAAGAACGAAGAAGGGAAGCTGGTTCTCCAATAGCGACAAGTCATGTTTAATTGCGACGCGAGACAGAGCGCTGTCAAAGCAGAAATCTTGACTTGTTTTGTTATTAGAATTTGGGCGGTTGCTGGTTCCAATCATGTCGGTATGATGAGGCTCTTCGTGAGGTTTGGAATTTGGGTTGCTGTTGGTTTTGATCATGTCGGTATGATGAGGATTTTTGTGGAGAAAAAATGGAATACAACCATCATGACAATGATATGGTGGCTCATCATCGGGTTTCGGAGGTTTGTATGTATGGTGATACCTGCAGTGACGGCTCCAGATATATTAAGCACGTAGTTGTTGAAGAATTTGGTTAGAATTTATGCAGAAGAAATCAAACTTGTTTGTTGGTACAAATAGGGTATTTTAATATAAAAAATTATATTTAAATAAAATGAATAATATAAATAAATAATAAACGAGAAAATTAGTGAAATAACCTCACTAACTTTATGTAATAAGAGATATTCAAAATATTTTTTTATTAACTAAGGTATCGTGATGAAATTTCTCTGTAATTATATCAAAAAAAATTTGAATTTTTTTTGTGAAATTAGAGAAATTTCTGTGCCAGGGTCGAAATTTCTCAGAATCAGATGAAATTTCTGTAAGGTGAAATTTCTCTATGAAAATGTTGAATGACCTTAAATATTATATATTATGAAAATATTATATATTATGAAAATAAATATTATGAAAATATTATATATTTTTCATCTTATAAAATTTTAATCTCAAAGACCTTAAAAAAATATTTTCAAAATAAATTACTCCTAAATAAAAAATGAAAGAAAAGAATAGAAAGATTGGACAAGGGTGGAAAAGTTACGAGCATGTGTTAGAATTTTACAAATAAAGAATTACTTCTCTTGTTGAGTCCGTCGTATTTATTTGGGGGTAGTGTTTGATTGTGTAAACCGCTATAATTTTAAATTATTTATGTAGTTTGTTTCTCAGAAAAAAAAAAAAAGGTTTCAATTTTATTTATTTATTTATTTTACTTTATTTTCTTGAGATTTGTCATGTAATTCCATCCTTATTGATGTGATTCACTCCTATATGACATCTTACATTTTGAAGAGAGTTGATTGATTGTTATTATTTATCACCTCATTAAAAATACAATTAGGGGTGATTAATTAAGGGATGAAATATTTTTCTTTTAAAA